AAAATAGAAATGGTAAAGCAGAAGCAGGGCGAATTCCTGGTCTAGGGTTCCAACCGAGACCTTAGGTTGTTGCCTTGAGTGAATATGAACGACGATTAGGCAGCGTTCAGACTTCGCGACGGCAGCGCCTCGGTCGCGCGTTCGGCGCGATCGATGCGCATGCTTTCGACTGCATCGATCGCGCGCGACCGAAGCGCTGCCGTCGCGAAGTCTGAACGCTGCCTTACGTTAGTCTGTGTGACTTCTGTACGACAGTGTTTTGTGGGAGTGTAGTTCACGAGATTAAGTCGCGGCATCGTGTGCATACCCCATTATCAATATTATGCCCTTTTTCTAGTTGACTCGCAGCTTTGACAGATGAGTTGAAGTTATGGCCCTGTACCGTTTATTTCGCGGTTCTATTTCTGATAACTTCGTCAGCCAGCTCAGTTTTTTTCGTTTCATTTTTGATGATGTCGGATAACCATAACTAACGTTCGTTTGTAATTACTCTCGAAATCTCTGAGAAGCAGCAGGCGTGGCTGCGTACCTGAACTGAACGTGGCGTAGGCTGAGCTTTTCGTGAAATTGATTTTGGGGCAGTCGTAATCAATGTCTTTGGTAACACAAAACTAGATGACTTTTGTCTCAAATTGGAAATCCCACGAGTAACACACCGTAATCCATGTTCGAATGCCACGCCTACTCCGTCTGAGGTAGAAGGAGAGTGGATTCATTCATTGATCCTCATAGAAGAAACCATCGTCGACTGTCGTCTCATTGATACAAGGCCGTGAAATTAAAGGCATATCAACGACCACCAAAACCAAGGTAATTTGACGACACAAGGTTATGCCAGCTAGCTAGAACCATTTGCTGGTTGACGCGCGATACCACGACGCGGATCTCCTGAACGATATATGAGAGACTGAATTAATGAGGAACCTGATCACTTGATCGATTAGCAGCAGTTCTGTGTATCGTTTAGATGACCAAAATCATTCTTTGGATACTTTTCATTTTGTAACGATTTTCACAACATTTCAATTCAATAACCATACCCTAGAGTACTATAAACAGTTCTTCTCATATATGTACAACTAGATACAAAACTGTCACATGTCGAGATCTTCGCAAATATCCCATTCAGAAATCTAAAAGTAAGAAGTAGTGGCACTGCTAACAGAAAAAGATGGAAAAGGCCTATAAATTTGTTGACAGATTAAAAAAAGATGCAAAACTGACCAATTCTCTATCGTGGACATTTACTCGAGCCAAGTTTTCGTTAATCTCAAAACGATGACTGCTAGCTAATATGACTGGATGGGGCTAAAAAAAAAAAAAAAAAAAAAAAAAAAAAAAAAAAAAAAAAAAAAAAAAAAAAAAAAAAAAAAAAAAAAAAAAAAAAAAAAAAAAAAAAAAAAAATGAGATATTAAGATTTTGGTTCTGGTCCAAAACGTCAGAAAAATAAGAAGTTCACCATCGACCACGGTCAGGAACATGGCAGTATATAGAAAGTCAAAATCCCTTTTCCTTATATCTAGCTCAAATCGTGGAGAAAATCCAAGAAATATATTAGGCTGCATTTATGCTTTGCATCAGCGTAAGGCAATGTTACGATAGTACACCAGCGCCTGCGACCGGGGAAGTATGAACGTCAGTGTTCGCCAGGGTACGTTAACGTACATCACCGTTTCGAGGGACTAAGAAGATATAGATATCGATCAAGCAAAAGCCAGCATATGCCATTTACAGCAGCGTCCTCGCGAGCAGTTTGGCTCAACCTTAAATTGCTCGCGAAAATACTGGCGTAAGCTGACGCAAAGTATAACTGCAGCCTCAGCGACTCATACAAAACAAGATAATGGAGGTATCTCCTTACGAGAACACTGAAACTCTCACCTTAGGAGCAACAACTCCTTCAAGAACGAATCGTGCTTGTTCAATGATATTCGAATGAGGATAGTTGAAGTGAAGATTTTCCGGTGGCATTCCCAAATGAAGACCTAGTGACAGCACTGACTGACAGAATTTGAACCTGTAACCATGACAGGTCGGCAAATATCTCACGGAATACTGAAACGTTGCGAAAATGATTGAAAGAGAGCAGTACTCTTGTGAAGATGTGATTCTGAAATACTGGGCAAAATGTTCATAGCTCACCAGTCATTATCGAGGAGTTCACGACTCCACCGCTCTCTCAAAGCAACATCACGATAGGTCAACTGAAAAAAATTCATATAAGGAGGGGGTCAAGTACACAATGAACATAAAGTCGAACATTTCCACGTACCAGATAAGGCAGTCGGAAGTCAAAAATCCTGGCTATATTGCATACGAGTTGTAAAGATAATAGGAAAGCAGCAAATGGGGAGCGTAGATCGGTGGTAAGGTTAAGAAGTGAATCGGACAACGCGTCTCCAAGCCTCTCACGTGCTGCGTCCGACAGGTAGTTGTCACGTACCTGAACTTATTATTTCGCTAAAAGATTGTCTATCTGTATGGGCGCAAAATTATAGCTATTGCATGTTTCTGGATAAGCCATGGATTAGACACAACCACATTAGAGCTTCAGAAGACAGACTCCTTAGCAATCGGCAAGTGTGCAGCTGATCAGAACACGTCCTTCCGTTAGGAACAAATTTTGCAAAACACGATCCCCCTCAAAATTTCGTGCTCTGGCATCTGACCCTCCCTTCCCATCAGCAACCCTACCTACCACTTTCCCGTAGAAATCCTGGATGTCTCAAAAAAACTACCGTTGAGCGAGTGGGGAGTGGGGATATGTAGCATCAGTGAAACGGGAAAAACCAGCTTGATAGCTGAAACCAGTTTTCTTAGAAGCAAATGTGACTCCCCTGGTGCGCGTCCCAACGTACAATGTGCCCTGGTCGTGAAACACCCACGCCACATTTTCCTCGTTGACGTGGGATTGAACGATGCCCATAAGGCATAATCGGAGAATTCAGCCATAGAGCAAACTAGCAGAAGGAATCAAACTAATCGAAAATCATTGAAGTTTGTGCGGACTATAAGTGGTATAGTGACAGCACCGTTTATTTAGCGACTACTCTGGAATCAAATGTGGTCCGTAACTGTCTGTCACCCTTTCAGAAGCGGTTCAGCGTTATGAGACTCGTACCTTAACATAAAAACAATCCTCATGCTAGCTACTAAGCTCGTACGCTTAATGGAAAGCGAAAGCCGAACTCGTGGCGCATATATTTAATCTTTCGGTACTCAGAGGAAAAGGTAAAAGTTTAAGTGAATTAAAAAATCTCAGAAGTAGACAAAATGCAATAAATAGGAACTCATGTGTAATCATATGTAAAAGAGAAGCTAACTTTTATCATCGGCCCTTCCTCGATTTGGTGACCACCAACCATCGTCCACTTTCTGAAATAGACAGATATTAAAAGGTTTGTTTATGAAATGATCTCAAAAAATAATAAATTTCGGTAGTTTACAAGAATGCTGAATTAATAATAACAGAAGGCTA